CATTTGCTATAAAGAATTTTTTGCTTCGGGAAGTGTCAATATCATTCGATGATTTGTGTAAATGTCATGATTTGTCTTAGAATTTTTTGCACTTTTAATTAACGACTACCATTTTTTTATTTTTTGACTACGGAAACACTCTAGTGCCCATGGAACAGGGATTAATTATCAATCGTGATGGAATCGATTTCACAGTTTCAGTAACCAATGAAGTTATACATTTTTGTAATGTTTATGTTTCAATTTCAAGATTCCTTTTTCTTTGAGTGAATAATAGTTGATTTATATTAGTTCACATACATTATACTATGAATATTACAATTGCAATGAGCCAAGTGTAATGCATAATATGCATGTCATAGGCATACGATGTAATCCTTTTTTATTTGAATTGTATGCATACATTATGCATAATATAAGTATTGTACATGTATGCATAAATTACGCATAATTTGTGTTTTGTAATTCCTTGGAATTTTATGCATACTTCATGCATACTTTATACATAAAAATAAAAAATTTATGTTTTTGACAATTTGTTTTTAAAAAAACCTTCAATGGCTCTTGCAAGAAATCTTCAAAATAATTGATTGAATTATTATGGACCGCGCTCATACATGTTTCTTGCAAAAACCATTGAAGATTTTTTCAAAACAAATGGTTAAAAACATAAAAATGATATTTTAAAATTCAAAAATATGTTGTGCTACAAATAAAAAAAAGACATTTGCAATGAGCCAGTGTATTTATTTATTTATTGAAATGACAGCGACCATTATTACACAGGTTGATTGACATCCAGCAAATTCACTTCAAAAATTAGAGTGACATTTGGCGGAACTAGCGGCGGCAATCCGGCGGGCCCATATGCCAGCTCTGGCGGACATTTAATTCGCCGTTTCGAACCCGTCTTCATTCCGATGATTCCTTGGACCCAACGAAGAGTGCTGTTTTGTTCACCCAACCGGAAAATGTTTGGATCTCCAGAGGTGTGTCGGTAGAATGAGTCTTGCTCACCTTCTACCCATCCTTCGTAATACACTGACACGGTACTACCGTCTAATGCCTCTATGCCTTCGGTCCCTTCAAGAAGCTCTTCAGTACTGACCTGCGAAATTGAAATAACTTATATTTTATGAAAAGTTCCATTTTATTCTCATTCAAAAATAAATTACCTTAATTTCATTGTCAATGCACGGAAAATTGCTATCGTCAGTTCGAACTGAGGTATGGTCAGCGGAGCTGGAAGCAACCTCTAGTTTGGCTACTTACTCGAGTGGGCAATGTCCTTGCTTACTACTTGCTTTAAGCAGACTTGGGGTTGAGTAAGTAAGGCGAGTAAGACGAGCAAGCGAGTCAACTCGAGCTATTTTTCCTTAAAAAAAACTTAAACCCTAGATGGCGCTAAACCTCTTAGCCCAGACATTTCTTAGTAAATAGATAGGAAGATATCCCATCCGTAAAAACTGAAGAAAAAAAGATATGACATGAAATGTTAATGAAACATTTATTTAATTAACGCTTATTCCAATTTTGCTCTTTTGGATCACAGTCAATTACAATTTTTCGGTGATTCTCTCGTCAACTGACGGATAAATGAAAATTGCACAGCAACAGAAAATTACATTTTAAAAAGGTCGTAATTGTCATGAATGAAAAGCACTTTTTCAACTCTGAACGGGTCAATAGTCGCACGTCGGCTTCGAATAACAGATCCAGCGAATGAAAAAGCACTTTCCGCCGTTGCTGTAGTGGCTTGAATACAAAATAGCACCTTTGCTATTGCAGATAAAAGTGGATAATTGTCACCAAACTTTGCCCAGAAATCCAACATGTCGTCATACATTTCCCGAATGTTTTGAAAACTCATAAGTTCTTCTTCCATGGAATGATCTGCTCTAACTCCACTTTGAAACCTGTTCGGCACATGACGGGCTAAAAGTTTTTCGCGAAGGCTCATATGTCGACTCTGAGTAAGGTCAACTTGAGACACCAACTCTGATTGTGATTGTTCAGTTGATGTGTTTGTATTCGACGGCAGCTTGATATTAAAATGAAGCACTATTCGTTCCATGAGTTCTTTCTTTGACATCTCTGTAGATGAAGATAAAAAGCGTTTTTGTAATTGGTTAATCAAAGGAGACTTGAACATACATGACCAAAAGTAATTACTTACCATTTTCGTGAAGCCATGTTGCAATGAATGGTAAATGTTGGGTTGTAGGATCCAAAACTGCAGCAGCCACGCTTACATCCGTTAGCTGAAATCGATTGTCCAGATTTTGTAGGAGTATGCGAACTACTTTTTCGGTGATTTCACACACGTTTTCACTTAGAATTCTTTCTAATCCTTCCTTGATTTCAACGTAGAATAAAACAAGTGAGTTCATTGTTGGGTAGCTATTTCCTTGTATGTACTTTGTGAATGTGTTGAAAACTTCAAGTACATCAACGAGACGTCGTAGCAAAGCATTTTCTGATCGTGATAGGATGAGATCATATGATTCATTATGTTCGAGGCATTTTCTGATGATAGCTGTAAAGCATCAAATAAAAAAAGATTCAGTTTAATTATTGCCAACATTTGAAATAATTGAAATTGACAACTTATGAGTATATGAACCCGACATTATATTGAGATATTTTCAGCCAGCTGAATCAGCTCAGGTTGCTATCATCAGGCGCTGAAATGTAGCACAACAATAGAAGTGATTGTTATGTTGTTTGTAAGAATGGAAGTGTTTTTATGACTATAATATTCACTTCTATTGTTGTGCTACATTTCAGCGTCTGACGATAGCAGCCTGAGCTGATTCAGCTGGCTCAGACATTATAATGAGATATTTTCAGCCAGATATCGTCAGGAGCTGAAATTGAGTGAAAACAATAGAAGTGATTGTTATGGTTATAATTACACTTACATTGCTACAATCACTATAACAATCACTTTGATTGTGTTCACTCCATTTCAGCTCCTGACGATATCTGGCTGAGCTGATTCATCTGGCTGAAAATATCTCATTATAATGTCTGAGCTGGCTTAAAATATCTCAATATAATGTCTGATATGAACACGACAAAAGTACGTAAAATTTACCTGCATTTTGGAAATGTGCATTGCAAACTTTATATATACAATTCCAGCGAACTGAGCTGATGCTTTTTATACCGTCCATTCTGTCTGGACCTCTTGTCAAATCATCAATAGAAAAGCGATCGTCAGCCTCTAATGCCTCTTCGATAGCCGATATTTCCTCTAACATTTCAAAAATTTCCTTTTGTCTTTCGCTCTGTGCAATTTTCGTTAACTCAGTATATTTAAATAACAATGCTTTTTGAACGCGACGCAATTTCTTTATAACAGCTGTTACAGCTTCGATTCCTTCTCCTTTTATGAGTAGATCGTGCTGAATCAGTCGATTTATTTTGTGGGCAATACATGGAATTTTTATCAGGCCCATATGGTCTACAGTTGCGTTGACATCAGACCCGCCATCAACCACAACAGTAATTTCTTTTTCTTGCAGATGATATTCTGTAAGTGTACTACGAAAATGTTCTTCGATTCGTCGGGCTGTGTGTGGACATTCAAACATAGATGTTTTCAGGACCCGGCTCTGAAGTTGCCAACCATCGGTTATATAATGACAAGTGTATGTAATATATGAAACGCGTCTGTAGCCGTCAGTCCACAAATCAAATGCAATACAACAGTGATCTGGGAAAAAACAAAAATAATTTGCATTTTAAATTGATTATTAATCGACTCCTTTGTATCTATTTACCTTGGGTTTCTTTCAAGTGAGCAACCAATTTAGTTTTAAGGCAAATATACATATCATCAAGTGCCATATTTGCAATCGTCGTTCTTGATGGAATGTCAAACCTATTTCGATTTAATGAACTAAAGAAATCGAGAAATCCGGTTTTTTCAACAACATTGAATGGCAACAAATCCCGACATAACCACAATAATATTCTTCTACTGAAAACGAACTTTTCATTTAATTTGCCATCATTGACCGTTTTCTTTTCAACAAAAAGTTCGGATAATTTGCGTTGTTTAACATCTTTTCGCTCCGACGATATCTCAATACGATGCTCGTGGGCTAAATGCTGCATAAGAACTGTTGCACTTGTTGCATTGGCGTAACTGTAAAAAAAATTAGTACTTGTTTGAATGCTTCAAATGTTGATTAAATTCATGTGTATCACAGTGTATTTACCTTTTTATGACATTTTTTTGAAAGCATTTTCTGCAGAAAATTCGATTTCTCGTTTTGGACACAATTCGATCACATTTATGCAAAATACCGAAATGTTCCCAAATTTTATGGCTCGACTTTTTGGCTATGTTTTTGAGTACATAACCATTTGTGATTGTAAATTCCTCTTCGATCTCAGGAATTTCACGTGGAGGTTGTACAGGTGATGTTGATGATAACGATGATCCGCTGGATCCACTGGTACTTGGTAAATATTCAGACCCCGAATCAGAAAATGGTTCACTTGTCGGTGATAGAGATGATGTTGACCTTGTATCGGTTTCAAGATCCATGTTCACAAATATTGCACGCAAATAAACCGCTATACAACAATGTATGCTTAAATAATCACCACTAACAATTTTCTACAGTGATCAGTGAAAATACGTGCACAGTTTTATTTAAAAGTTATACGCTACCAAAAAATGATGCTGAATCAGATTTATGTGCTAGCTGTACTTTTTTTCTTTTTTCAAGTGCTCAATCGGTCAATGTCAAATGCGTCTGTCACAATATGTGTATGTTGTACTCTTAACTAAAATTGAGCAACCCTGCGTCAAACGAAAATGGCCTCTGCCATAGTATTGGCGCGAAATATATGACAGTCATTTGTCATTTTACGTTCTATTCTACTGGCACACATTTAGCTGACTGAGTCGACTCTTTCAAGCGGTAGTATTTTCCATATTTTTCCATCAAAATTGTGTTTCGTTTTCGTTAAAAAGCTTTGTAATAATGCAATTCAAGATAGATACAGTGATTGACACTATAAATAACAAGTGGTCAATTGTTAAGAATGGAAATTTCAGTGACTGTTATTATGCTCAAAAGGATAACAGTAATCTTGTTGGTGAGAATTATCCGTATATTGCGAAAATTGTAAGTATTTTTGGTTATGTTAAATAACATGAAGCACCACATAAGTTTGGTTAATTTTTATTGCACTTTTTCGCAATAGCATCGCGGTCCAAAGAGAGACTTTCATGAGATGGATTTTTACCTTAAACATAATGAAAAAAATGCTGTTGAAGCCTTTCAAAAAGAGCGGAAATTAAAGTCGATTGGAATACCAATTTTGATAGCACATGGAACCTTCAAAATTAAGTCATCTCTATATCAATTTTTCATCCGACCGCGCTTCGGCCAAAGCCTATCACATTTTTTGGAACCTAATCGAAAATTTGAAATCGGTTTTTTGAATCGTATAGCTGCACAAATAGTAAGCAAAGTACAAATTATTGTCGAATTTTTTGTATTCAAAATAAGTTCCTATACGTTTCTTTAGGTTGACATCTATGAGTATATTCATCGTTATAAATACGTTTTGGGTAATTTGAAGGCAAGCGATTTACGCTTGGGTACAAATGAAAACGACAAGCAACAAGTGTATTTGATTCGATTCGATTTCGTATCTCATTTGATGACAAGATCACTTAAATCAAATAAAACTAAAATGCATAAAGGCTGTATTCGATTGATCTCACGAGATGCTCATCAGGTAAATTAAACTGAAACATTTTGTTTACGTTTTAGAGATATTTTCAGGTAGCTGATTCAGCTCAGAAAGCTAACATCAGGCGCTGAAATGGAGTGAAAACGATAGAACTGATTGTTATAGTGTTTGTAGCAATGAAAGTGCTTCAAGAACCATAACAATCACTTCTATTGTTTTCATTCTATTCCAGCGCCTGACGTTAGCTTCCTGAGCTGAATCAGCTGCCTGAAAATATCTCAATATAATGTCTGTAAATCACATTTATTTTATCTGTATTTGTACGTAGGGAGTACTGACATTACGAGGAGATATGGAGAATTTGGCTTTCAACTTACTAGAATGGGCTGGTGGTGCTCTACCGTGGATGAACTGTTTGAACGAAGCGGACAAGGTCCAGCGGTCGAAAGATAAGCTAATGTCAAGAACAAACATCGATTTACATCGCTGTTTTCCAAATGAAATATGCCCAGGTAAGCTAACATCATATGAATCGTTGTGGCGAGATAATACTGCAGTATTAATATGTTGTATGCTAATTTTTCAAATCAATATTCTAATTTTTTTTCGTCAATTTTATAAACAGAAACTATTCGAAAGTTCTTCGAACACATAGGAGAGTGCGGTCTTACTGAGCTGCCTTCGTATGAAAAATATAGAAAATGTTTCTTAGGCATACGTTCACAATCTAGATCAGAAACGATCTCAGTAAAAAAAACACATAATTTGCGTAAGCGACGTGTTCCTGAAAATACTGACGCAAAGATGTCAGATAATCAGCAAGCTTCGAAAAAAATCAAAGTGGACAATCGACAGGCTGTTGTTAAAAGTGTTGCTCCGAAGTTTGTACCTGCAAAACGTGACGCGCTAGTAGTTGGAAGTCCAATACTAGCATGGATGAAATCATATTCACCGTGGCCAGCAAGATTGATTAGTATTGATAATGCCAATTGCATTGTATATTTTTACGGTGATAATAATAGGACAGGAAAAGTGCCGATCGACCGCATTGGTTTGTCTAAAGATAACCACTCCATGATGAAGCATTGTTTAGGAAAAAAAATTGCTAACTACCGCAAAGCAGTGGCTGAACTAGAGGCCGTCTGTAATATTCCGAACTCTCTTTCTTTAATTAATTGATAATATTAATTCCATAAAAAGGACAAATTTAAACATAAACAATGTTATCTGAAGTGAGATGTAAAGAGCATATTCTGAAATTGTTTTTTATAAAAACGATAAATTTAAAGATTTACAAAATTGTAATATGAATTGATTCACTATGTATGGTAAGAGAGAAGGAATAAACGGAGCTGTATCAGCCTGTATGTACAAAAAATATAAACTTATTTAGAGTTTTTTCTGAATCAGAAATTTTGATTTTATATGGAATTATTTTGTATATTTACATTTATTTCTAACAATTTAGCTAGTATTAGAATCAAACTGATAACAGATTTTGCTCTTTTTCTCCAGTCATTTCCCCGTAATGCAAATTTTTGCTTTTTATCCATGATGTTAAGTCCTGTTTGGATCAGTGACCAATGATCAAAACATTTTTTTTAAAAGGTTAATTTTTCGAATATATTCAACTCACACCCAAGGCGTTGATCCGATCACGCTTGTTTAATTCAAATTCCAAATTTTGTAGCTCCATTTTTTCAAATGTTGAACTCAATTCTTGAGTCTTAAGACTCGTATCTTAAATAAAATTACGTCGCGTAAATGATTGTTTACTACAGCCTGTCATTGTCAAAGTGAACCAAATTCACGTATCAAAAATATAGTGCAAATTTAGCATCAAATCCTCTGAATCGGCTGAATCGAAATGTCAAACATTTGTTCAAATATGTATGTATGTCAAGAAATTTAATGAATTTATTTCGTTTTTTTGGATGATTTGACAAATATTCGTTAAAAAGTGATTCTTGTTGTGATGAATGTTTTATGAATGGTTTTGTTAAAAATGCTTCTGAGCTAATTTCTATGTCATGGAATTTTTACAATTAACCTGCTATATTTACATATTTGAACCACAAAATTTCAACGGCGATTGGGTAACCCAATTTGGGCTACCTATATATTTTCGTCCAAAATTGTATGAACTTTTGTTCTGTAGGAAATGATGGCACGTTTTATTTCTTCCTTTAAATCATTCTCATATTTTGCGCGAATCTCATACAACGACTTTGTATGCTTTCTTCGAACATCAGCCAATTCCTCGTTTGCTTTGGTGAGTGCCTTTTTCGCTTCATCTTTTTCGTAAGTCACGAATTGGACTTGTGCCTGCAGTTCATTGATCTTTTTTCGCATTTCAGCAAATTCTTCTTCGTGTACTTTAATCAACTGTGCTATTTCGTAGGAACGGAACAGAATCTTGTCGAAACCACTTTCAGTTGTGTCATTGTTCAAGTCCTTGACAAATGATAGAAAAAATAAGAAGTTGTTCAATTGCTAAAGATGAGAGATACCAAATTTATACTTACCACTGAATCAGCGGCATATGCCGTTTTGACAGTTTTATCGTGCCTGCTCAAGTGCTTTCTAAGCTTTTTTTCACATTCGAAACGGCTGTGACACATGAAACATTCAAATGATTCGACAACAGTTAGTTCGGATTCTGTATCCATCTCCGAACATGATTCACTTCCTCCATTTTCAATTGATGTGAAATCCAAAAGTCTAACAAAAAATTAAATCACAAATTATTTACAAAATTTATACAAAAATGATGAAAATATAATACAAAGTGTGCATACCTTCGAATGTCCTCATCTTCATCATCATCATCGTCGTCGTTGTCGTTATCATAGTCTTCACTCTTGATGCCAATTTCAACATTGTTCAAGTCCTTGACAAATGACAGAAAAAATAAGAAGTTGTTCAATTGTTAAAGATGAGAGATACCAAATTTATACTTACCACTGAATCAGCGGCATATGCCGTTTTGTCATCGTCGTCGTTGTCGTTATCATAGTCACCGTCTTCCTCGATGAGATCATCACTTAGTCCAAGCGCCTCCGATTCACTCAACATAGCCTCACTCTTGATGCCAATTTCAAAATTGTCTTTGTAAAAACTAAAAAAATCATTTTCCTTCCGAATTGTTCCCTTGGAACTGTTGCTTCCGTTTTCATTTATGACATCGTTAAGTGTATTTTCTGCAAAGTGAAAAAAAAATTATTGCATCTTTAGATATTCCTCCAGACGGTTCAATACAGAAGAATTTATAGAAATCTTACCATTTTCTTGCTGTTTCAGCGCCATTTTCCTTTTGGTGACCACATTGATGGAACCGATATGTTGTGCAGCTATTTCAGAAAAGAAGATAATACAGAATTCTGTCAGAATATACACTCTAAAAAAATATTTGGCCATTCTTACCGTTAGATTTATGTTTTCTCAACAAATGGTCTTTCAGATTCTCTTTGCGCATAAGCCGCTTGCCACAAAAACAGCAGATAAATTGCCCTTGTGCCCGCGGTCGCTCTGTTGCCAAAGTGGCTTTTGTTATACTTTCGATTTCGTCAAGTGTGTATGTGTTTGAATGAAATTTTTTATAATGGACCTTTAGGTTCCATCGTGTGGAGAAATAAATCATACAGTTTTTCACGTTACGCTTGTAACCCACACTAACATTTGAACCACTAACTTTGGCCATTTTGATTGTCGTCTTTTCGCGACAAAAACTGAACTGTCTAACGGTCATCAAAATGAACGAAGAAGAGAAGAAAAAATGAATATTTGCAGAAAAATCCTCATACAAACATTCAATTCATATTCAAGTGAAAAATAAGAAACAAATGGTAACTCACCGAAATAATTTTTGATTTATATTGAATAGAAATATCAATTAATCGAATCACGCAAAACTGATTAAAAACAAAATATAAAACGCTTGCGCGTTGAAAACTAACGATGACTTATGTTGCTTGTGTCGTAAATGAAATGAAATGCTGAAGTTCAATGTCAAAGCGATTGAATGCGATGTCATGCATTTTCGTTTGACGCAGGGTTGCTAAATTTCAGTTGAAAATATGAAATATTGACTGTGATCCAAGAAAGCAAAATTGAAACAAGCGTTAATTAAATAAACTTTTCATTAAATTTTCATGCCATATCTTTTTTTCTTCAGTTTTTAACATAATTTTTTCGTATAATCGATTGTGTTTAAGTACGTTTGAAATGTATGCATTGCAAATTTGATTTTTTGAATTCGAACACGTCGCCAGATGGCGTTTTTACAATTTGACATTTTTCAGTCATGTTGGTTCAACCTCTATGAGTGCCTGGGCGATACAGGCGAGAAAAAAGTCGCACAATAAAGCGCCATCTGTTGACGTGGTTATCAATGTATGTGGTTACAAGCTTGTATTTACGTCTTGTATGGTGCTTAATTCAATTCTCATATCGTTTATTTTCAACCACCATTCGGACACGTCACCAGATGGCCATGGCGTTTTTACAATTTGACATCTTTCAGTCATGATGGTTGGAGCTACTTACTCCTGCTTACTTACTCGGAGTATTTCTACTTTTTTAAAAATGCCTGCTACTTGCTACTCGAAAATGCCACCTACTACTTGCTAGTAGCCTGCTCCTAACTTACTTGCTTCCAGCTCCGATGGTCAGTTGGATCTGAGCAAATCTCATCCATCATTAATTCAGTAGCTTTTGCGTTTATCGGCAAAAAGTATCCATTGATATATAGACTTGCATCTATATCTGATGAACAAACACTGTAGAACGTCAATTCCTCATTGGCGTTAATGACTAAATCAATACGAACATTTGGCTTTGATTTGCTGGTTGTGGCTATCAATTGAGGGCATTTATCTATGGCAATCCACAATTGCACTTCAGTTTGATTTTGGCCTTTTTTTATTGCAGTCGTATCTAATGCTACGCTTGTTATCCGAATTTCATATGCTGCCTTGAAATCGTATGATGTTTTTGCTTTGATACACATACCTAAATGATTAATTAAAAAAAAATAACTTAATTCATCATTATTTTGCAAAAAATAATAATAAAATAAAACAAACCCCAAATCATTTTTCACCAAAAATAATGTTTGCCAAATCCAAGAAAAAGTAAATCATGAAGAGCGCAATGTAATGAAGTATGCAATGTAATAAAGCGTCCAGGTCGAACCAAGATACCGCTTTAACTGACAGCTGTCAAGCCTACTGTTGTCAAAACATTTGTTGATTTTTCAAAGTTCTCGTACCGTCTGAAACATCATCAAGAAAGACGCATAATAAGATGTTTGTTAGCGTACATGTAAGATATCTTCTTCGTATTTTAAAAATCTTCTCCTTTAGTTCGCACTCACCTTTACTTTTTTATTGAAAGGGTTTTTCCTTTCTTGGTTGGAAACGTTGGGCCAAAATATCATCAAAAAAACGTCGAATCAGCAATATTCCAAAAATAATTGTGGTTTGTATTATTGTTGGATATAAAATTTAAGTTGAATTTAAATAGACTTTTTTTTAGTTCGAATGTCCATTGTGTTACATACACATAAAATCAAAGAAGTCAAATTTGGAACGTCATATGAGGCTGCATAATCAGACGAGTCGTTTCAAATGTGTTCTTTGTCGAAATACATATCAAAACAAAGCGAATTTCATGGCACACAATAAAAAACATCATGCTGATCATGTTGGTCTCATTGAATTCACATTTACCAGCGAAGGAGCAAAACCACGTCCATATTATTTGTAACACCTAATGAAACATTCACACTTAAATAAACCATTTTATTGATAAAAGCGATCACTTGTTATGTATTAATAATTATGACATTGGCGTTTCAATAGAAAGAAGAGTAACGGTGGAAATCACTGTTGCATTTGCTGGGATGAACGGTGCTATACCATTTTTTCCGTATGCATGTTCTGGTGGCGATGTTACTTTACGCTTGGCTCCAACTTTCATGCCCATTATTCCAGTCTCTAATCCTTCAATGATGAGTTTTTCTGATTTACCCAATGTTACTGTTATACCATCACCAGTTGTCATACGTCCAACAATATTGCCAGTGGATTCCAATCGATTTTCATAGTGAATTCTGACAACATCGCCTACATCAGCCCGTCTTCCTTCACCTTCCACGATGTCAATATGACTGATGCCGGATGGAAGAACGACTTCTTCTTGTTGCATGTCGAATGAAGTGAAATTAAGATCATGTTGGCCGTCGTTATTGTCGTGGTCGATCATTGAGGTCTAGAGTTAAAAAATATTATTCGTGAGTCGCATTTTATGAATGCATCTTGATTCTCACGAACACATACCTTCTTCCGTTTAACTTTTTTTCTCGTTATATCACTCTCAATGGTTTCGTCCAGATCGACTTTTTCTTGTGGTATATAATATCCACTGAGATGAATCGTACCACGACCAATTTTGAAAAATTTAACTTTTTCACCACTTTCAAAGGCCAAATCCAGCTTTACTTGGAGTTTTTTTCGCGAAACGGTCGCCAGTAAAGTTTTATTGCGTTGTTTTTTTATCCACAGCTGTACAAGTCCACCCCTATTTTCCTCGATCGTGTTTATATCCAACGCCAATTGCGATACGTGAAAGGATCGTTCAATTGGTTCATTGTAATAATTGTCGCCATCTAAAACCAAGCCTAGCCAAAATTTTCATGATTATTATTATAAAAATTATTTGAATTTTTTCACGCTTAGTATACTTACTCCAAAACATTGTTGAGTTTTGTCTTTTTGATCAATTTTTTCGTATTACATGTACTTTGTCTCAAATTTGAAACATATGTCCGCATTTGTTTGAAATTAGTTTGTTGTGTGTCAATATATTCTGTCAATATAGTTCTGTCAAAATCTGATACTCACACAAACACTCATGCCTTTTTCATGTTCGTTCGGCTCTTGCAAAATCAACAAATATAAAATCAGTTTTGTGTGAATGTGGTAAAAAACCATGCAATTTATTTTAATTCTATACGTATTCGAAATACATAGAAAATTAAAAATGTTGTATAGAAATATTTTTTTGACTTGGATTATTTTTTTTCATCTGCAACTTTATTTGAATATCGTCATAGTAGATTTGACAGTGACACAAATATTCATGCGCACATAACTTCACAGTGATCTGCCCATGTCTCTTGCATGAAACAGCATTTTTCGGCATATTTGAAGTGTAGAGAATATACATTAATAAGAGAAATAAATGCTTTCTGTTAGGTTCACAATTTATTACTGATCAACATTTATTAATTCTAACAATATGTAGCTTGAATAATTTTGACAATATTTGAATAGGCTTGCCATATATGGGCATTTAATTGTATTTCAAAGTGCATTATGGGCAGTTAATTGTATTTCAAAGTGCATTATGACTTAATTGAATTTGGACTTTGTATAATGAATTGTTTATGACTTATGTTTTGAATTTATGGTTGAGTTGCATTTATATTTTTATTTATTTGTCACTTGGTGACATTCTCCCGGGCGGGAGGAATGTTGTTGCAATGGATACAGGGTCGTTGTTCCTCTTCCCATAGCCTTTGTAAATCGGTCAGTGGGTATATATGAGTACTAGCTCTCATTGATTCTCTTCTTGCTTCAAAATATTCCCGTTCCAGTTGCACAATTGGTGAATTTTGGTTTTCGCGTGTTTTTCTGGCGGCTGGAATTGGTGTATCAACTCGAATACTTTTCGAATGGTTCAGGTTTTGCATTTGAATATTTGCTGTTGGTGTTGGCAATGATTGCATGGAAATTGCGTTGTCATGTTGCATGGGAATTGTGTTGATATGTTGCATTGGACTTGCGTTGTCATGATAAACCATTCTTGTCATTGCGCCTTTGTAAAATATTCGCATAAAAAAAAATAGAAATCCTAATAAACATAAAATAAACAATGCAAATATGATTAATGTCGCAAAATTGTTGGATTCCATTTGATGCCATGAAAAGGAGACTGTTTGATTATGCTTGGACTCCTGATTATTTTTTATCAACGAAAAGTGGTGTGCGTTTGTTTTTTGTAATAGCGAAAAAAATATAGCTATTAATGTTGTTGTTTTTAACGTTGTTTTAACTCGGTGTGGATCGATAGTTTCTTTTGAATTGTTTGTTGATTTTACGGTCAGTGGCGCTAATTTCGTGATTGCTCGTTTCAGCACGCTATTTTTTGTTTTGACTGATACAACACGTGTCATACCATCCGAGCCTGTATGTTTCTCCACTACTCGTGCCATGGCCCATTTGCCGGGTGGCAAGTTTTCGTCT